AAAGGGCATCGCTACTAAGAGCAAAGACGCTACTAGTAGCTCCTGGCCATACTAGTAGTAACAAGAAACTACTAGGAACAATGGGCATCGCTACTAAGAGCAAAGACGTTACTAGTAGCTCTTTGCCATACTAGTAGTATCAAGAAGCTAGTAGTAACAAGAAACTACTAGGCACAAAGGGCATCGCTACTAAGAGCAAGGACGCTACTAGTACCTCCTGGCCATACTACTAGTAACGAGAAACTACTAGGCGCACAGCATCGCTACTAAGAGCGAGGACGCTACTAGTAGCTCTTGGCCATACTACTAGTAACAAGAAGCTACTAGGAACAAAGGGCATCGCTACTAAGAGCGAGGACGCTACTAGTAGCTCCTGGCCATACTACTAGTAACAAGAAGCTACTAGGAACAAAGGGCATCGCTACTAAGAGCGAGGACGCTACTAGTAGCTCCTGGCCATACTACTAGTAACGAGAAGCTACTAGGAACAAAGGGCATCGCTACTAAGAGCAAAGACGCTACTAGTAGCTCCTGGCCATACTAGTAGTAACAAGAAACTACTAGGCACAATGGGCATCGCTACTAAGAGCGCTACTAGTAGCTCCTGGCCATACTAGTAGTAACAAGAAACTACTAGGAACAAGGGCATCGCTACTAAGAGCAAGGACGCTACTAGTAGCTCCTGGACATACTAGTAGTAACAAGAAACTACTACGCACAAAGGGCATCGCTACTAAGAGCGAGGACGCTACTAGTAGCTCCTGGCCATACTACTAGTAACAAGAAGCTACTAGGAACAAAGGGCATCGCTACTAAGAGCAAAGACGCTACTAGTAGCTCCTGGCCATACTAGTAGTAACAAGAAACTACTAGGGACAAAGGGCATCGCTACTAAGAGCGAGGACGCTACTAGTAGCTCCTGGCCATACTCCTAGTAACAAGAAGCTACTAGGAACAAAGGGCATCGCTACTAAGAGCAAAGACGGTACTAGTAGCTCCTGGCCGTACTAATAGTAACAAGAAAAGTAACAAGAAACTACTAGGAACAAAGGGCATCGCTACTAAGAGCGAGGACGCTACTAGTGGCTCCTGGCCATACTACTAGTAACAAGAAGCTACTAGGAACAAAGGGCATCGCTACTAAGAGCAAAGACGCTACTAGTAGCTTCTGGCCATACTAGTAGTAACAAGAAGCTACTAGGCACAAAGGGCATCGCTACTAAGAGCGAGGACGCTACTAGTAGCTCCTGGCCATACTACTAGTAACAAGAAGCT